TATATATATGCACATATTTTAGTCAGTGTCTTGTCTTAGCCTCGTCACTACCTCGTCGGAATTAGGCTCGACACTTACTGAATATACTGGATTGGTTCTACTCATACTATACTTCTGCACTTCTTGTGCAAATTTTAATATTGGTACCAGCGGAGTTCCGAAAGGCACTTAGCGGATACTAGTAAGTGATTTGAGGTAGAGTTGTATCTCGTTCGCAGTTCGCAGGCCCTAGAGTAACTTTCCTATACCTACTGTATTGTTTCCATTATTTTTCGGACAGTGTTATATTTCTTTTGAAACCTTGTATTTAGCTGGATCTAGACGCTCATATACTTATGACACCAGATCTTGAGGTGGTTTATATTATGCTATTGACTAGTTATCAGACATTTATTGTTTTTTTCTATTTTGTATCATCTGTTGTGTTGGCTTGTCTTGAATTCGGTGTTAGGCATCATCACGGGCCGCAGTTGGGATTTCGGGTCATGACATAAAACCGTATGAGCCTAAAGAAATCGCTGCAAATCGCAGAGCCAGTCATAATAAGACACGGGTCTCGAGCATTAAATGGAAGGGACATAGGTCTCTTCACTTCTGATGCGCATCATAATGATCTCGGGAAGAGGCGGAAAAATATTCTCGCTATGAATAAACTCTCCACTTCCCAAATATTCAGTTGTGAATATTCAGAAAGTAGGGGGACTATCTGTATTAGTAAAAAATAAGCTCACAACGTGGACCAATATTATGATAACAGGTGGCATGGGAGTCGAAGTAATAAAGAAGATTGATGTACAGAGAAGATATGAATAACACCTATGAGATCATCTATGAAGATACCGTGCATGTTAGCTAAAAAGAGAAAGTAGGTGTGGGGCCGATAATTAAGGTCATTGGAAGCCGCGGAGATGGAAAGATCATTAATAACCATAAATATAGAAAGAAATCAGTTGAATCACTAATTGTGTGTGATTGGCTATTATTACTTCAACCGTTACAAATCACCCACGTAATGAGTAATTAATGTAATAAATACTAGTAACTGGCAGGAGAACTAAATAGGGTAAGTGGTTATGAACTATACCATTATATAAATCTCCTTTTCATATCTAGTATTCCATCGAGAAAACTGCAAAGTTATAATATCAATTGTCAATATTCTTATTATTCTCTGCTGTTGGAAGATCTAATTCTTTCCTATCGGAAGAAAGCGGCAAACAACAATAAGAATTCTATTTCCTTATTCTCTCAGTCTTATTTTCTATTATTGTTATCCCTCTATATTTGGAAAAGTGAAGTAAAATTGATTGTTAGAAACCCAAATTATTCTTTTATTTTATTTGACCACAAAAACATTTTTTTTTGGTTAAACACACTGTATTATACATCTGCAGGGTTGAAAAGAACCCAGATCTTAGTCTCATCCAATCATGTCAAAATTTCGTAATTTGATGGCCCTCATTTTTGCATGTTACAGACATCCGATTTTAATTTGACCTTCAAATTAATGTAAAAGATTGAGCCTTAATGAGATATCTTCCTCTGCAATTAATAACTATAGCGACACCTTTATAAGGAATTTATACCTCTAACTTGCACAATAACTGATAGTTTCAAAGAATTAATTCAAGAAGTGTAGCGAAACAAGAGAAGGAGAAATGTTGTCTGCCTTAGTTTTTTTTTTTCTTTTTTTCCTTCTTTCATTTTTGGTTGTCTGTCTTTGTTTGACAAGAAATTGACTAATTTCAATTGTTTAGTGCAAAATTGGTAAAAACCAGAATGAAGTTAATTATGACAGTTAAATGGCAGTACACAAACATAGCAAGGTGAGTTGTTTCTCAAACCCTTATGTTTCTTGTCCCAATAATCAAGACCAAGTCACATCATAAATGTGTACAGATCTCAGTCCACGACAAATGCTAATGGAACATTGCCAATGCTTGTGTGCATAGCTTCTTCGGATGTTTATATTGCTATCAACTTCCCTTCTTTTATCGTTTGATGGGAACTTATTTCTTCCGGAAGCAGAGAAAAGATTTCCAGTTAGATATAGACATGAATGCCTGAAAAATGTTAAGGGCGTTAAAGACTAAGTATTCTACAAAGAATTAGTCACTAATCAACTGCACAAATTTTTTATATTGTCAATCTTTGTCTTAAGTACTAAATTCCAACTCTATACTAGGAAACCTTGTAGATATCTTCAGTGTAGCTAGGGTTTTTTGTCTTTATGTTCCCCACTCATGAGCCCATTCTCTATTTAACCCTTTATCATCATTTGTTCCACATCATAACTCTATCACCTACATTTTAAATATTATTTGGTATCATGGCTGCTGAACTTGGGATTCTATCTCAGGAACAGCAAAAACAACAACAGTCGCCACTACAACCACCATTAGACCCTAGCTCTGTCACTGGTTATTGGATGTGGAACACTAAATAATCAACCCGTATAACAGTTCAAGATGACGACAACTCATGGGAAGTAAGAGCATTTGAGGAAGACACGGGCAATGCCATGGGCACCACTTGGCCACCAAGGGCGTATACTTGCACCTTTTGTCGGAGAGAATTTCGGTCAGCCCAAGCCCTAGGTGGACAGATGAATGTGCACCGTCGCGACCGTGCTAGGCTCCACCAAGCTCCACCACTAGCTTCCAATAGCAACCACACTTCTTCCCACAATGCTAATTCAACCCTCCTAAGTCCAACTCAAGAATTTGTTACAAATGGTGGACTTTGTCTTCTATACTCCTTGCCTAACCCTAATGGTCCTGTCTTCAATCCCACATCAACAAAATCTTGTATGAATAATAATTTACCCTCTACTTTTCTCTCTATCTCTCCCTTCCCCACAAATAATTTGATGTCTCCTTACCCTCCTCCTCCATCTTTAAGCTTCCTAATAAATAGGCCTTCTCCAATCAACACATCATTTAACATAAGTGAACCTTTAACATCTAACACTAGTAATGATAACAATCATGATTATGGTAGCAGCAAGAGGGATTCAGCCATTGAAGAAGAGCTTGATCTTGAACTTTGACTAGGATGGGGATCATCATCAACAACATCCTGTCCATGACAGCCCAAAATGAAATTTTACACAAGCATGACATTTGTGGTTAATTTCATAGACTTAATTTCTGTGAGAATTTCCTTTGTTTTCCTTTTTCTTTGTCTTAAATGGATTGATTAATTCGTTATGTGTGAATTTCCTGTTGAAGTTGAGAGAAAAGGCAATAAGAGAGCAGTTTGTAAATTTAAAGAAATGAAGGGCTAAGTGTGGTATTAAATAATTATATTAATGATCAAAAGGAAGTTATTGCTATTAGCTAGAATTGGAGTGCGAGCTAGACTATAAAAGAGCTTTGCAGTGCAGTGTCATTTTCTAGTTGCTGATTTCTGAGGACAACACAGTGTGCACATATATTTCCGTGGGGATTATTATATCTGTCATGTTAGGACTCTTTATTACTGCATTTATGCTGTCTCTCATGAATATATATTTGGCTAAAGAGGAAAAGAAAGATTTAGTGCTTAAAAAGATCCTTGAGACATTCGAATTAACTCTATCCATTAAAAGGAAGATTTTCTATGCGCTTTCCTGAAATTTTTAATTTTTTCCTTTACCTTTTCTGGATTATATTCCCTTTGTTTCTTTTCCTCTTCTGTGTTTGGCCTTACTTTAGGAATACTCTTCATCCCTTATGTTTCTTTCTTCTCGAAAAGTAGACATTCAGAGGAAATAAAGAAAGAAGAATAGAAAGAACTCAAGTAATTAATTATCTTTCATTATCTTAATTGAATTGCAGTTAAACTCCACCCAACCTTTCACTAAAAGTATAGAGCCAAATACAAAAAAGGATTCTATATATGTAACGACCCGGCCGGTCGTTTCGAGAGTTATAGCTCCATTTTTCCCATTTCTGCTTCTTTTTGTGTTCTTCAGCTATATTGTGATATACCGGGTTAGTTGGTTTGGGTTCGAAGTGAATTGAGACACATAGTCTCTTAATTAAAAGGTTAAGTTAGAAAAGTTGACCGGAAGTTGACTTATGTGTAAACGACCTCGGATTTAAATTTTGATGATTCTGTTAGCTCTGTTAGGTAATTTCGGACTTAGGAGCGCATCCGGAATGTGATTTGGAGGTCCGTGGTAGAATTAGGCTTGAATTGGCGAAAGTTAGAATTTTGGCAATTTTGGCCGGCAGTGAAAATTTTGATATCGGGGTCGGATTGGATTTCCGAAAGTTGGAGTAGGTTCGTGGTGTCATTTCTGACTTGTGTACAAAATTTGAGGTCCTTCGGACGTGATTTGGTAGGTTTCGGCGTCGTTTGTGGAATTCAAAAATTTTTAAGTTCATTAGGCTTAAATCCGTGTGTAATTCGTGTTTTTATTGTTATTGAAGGTGATTTGAAAGTTTGACTAAGTTCGTATGATGTTATGGGATGCGTTGGTATGTTTGGTTGAGGTCCCGAGGGTCTCGGGTGAGTTTCGAGTGGTTAACGGATAATTTTTGGCCTTGGTGAGATTGCTGATATCTGCTGCTGCATTCTTCTGGTTTCCTCTTTCGTGTTCGCGAGTGAGCCCTCGCATTCGCGAAGAGTATTTTCTGAATGGTGAGATTTTGTTCTTCGCGTTCGCGAAGGGGAGGACGTGAATGCGAAGGTGTGGTCTGCGTGTGCATCGCGAACGCGGGAGCAGGGTCGCGTTCGCGAAGAGGAGTGAGGCAGTTGGGGACCCCAGGTCCTTGTTCTACGCGTTTGCGAGGTAGTGGTTGCATTCGCGAAGAGTAAAGTGGAGAGGCAGTCAAGTTGGTCTACGCGAACGCGAGAGGATGTCGCGTTCGCGAAGAAGGAAATCTGGGCAGACAGTGTTAAATTCAAAATCAAAGGTTTGAGCTCATTTTTCATATTTTGAGCTAGAGATCACGGATTTGGGCGATTCTTGAAGGGATTTTCGTGGAGTTGATTGGGGTAAGTGTTTCTCACTTGGTTTTGGTTAAATTCCATGATTATATCTTAATTTTTATCATCTAAATTGTGATTTGGGGTGAACAATTGGGGAAAAAGTGGAAGAGTTCTTGAGATGGAATTTTGAGGTTTTGAAGGGGATTTTATTGTCGGATTTTGGTAAATTTGGTATGACTAGACTCGTGAGTGAATGGGCTTTCGGGTTTTGTGATTTTTGTTGGATTCCGAGACATGGGCCCGGGGGCCAGGTTTTGAGCCGCTTTTGGATTTTGGCTATAATTTGGTATTTTTCTTGTGGAATTGATTCCTTTAGCCTATATTGATCGTATTGTATTACTTGTGGCTAGATTCGGGACGTTCGAAAGCCGAATTTAAAGGCAAGAGCATTCCGGAGTAGGACTTTGCTTGGTTTGAGGTAAGTAACATTTTCAAACTTGATTCTGAGGGTTCAAGACCCCATGTTATATGCTATGTGATTGGTATTGAGGTGACGCACATGCCAAGTGACGGGCGTGCGGGCGTGCACCGTGAAAATTGTGACCTGGGTGATTCCATGGCACCGTTTAGTGACTCTATCCTGTTGATATCCATGTTTTCATCAGGTGATAAAGTAATTGAGTTGTAGATCGTGCTAGATATCATTTTTAGGCTTTGTGCCGGGATTGGTTGGACCCTTAGCGGCCGTTCTTGCTGTCATCTCACTAGTTTCATTTACTATTCCATACTCAGTTATGATCATGCATTTTTATATCATATCTCGGACTCAATTATTTATTGATTCATCATATCATTGTTCCGAGTTATTTTCATGACATTATGAGCCCGTGGTGAGACTGGAGAGGTTGATGACTGAGTGAGGCCGAGTGCCTGGTTATGAGTGACATTTATGGGATCGGGCTACACGCCGCAGTAGTTATATTGATGATTATGATAGCGCTTGGGCTGTAGGATCCCCTCCGGAGTCTGTAACACACCCCAAGTGAGCGCGGATGATATTATTGAGGGATGGATTTCCCTGGACATGGATTTGTCCGAAGTACTTGATACCTGGAGATGGATTTCTCCACAGGGTTGGATTGCCCTTTTACCTCGGTACTGGTGATTTATAGTCAGTGTTGTATATGTTCCGGGATGGATTATATACAGTACCGAGTGATTGAATACTCGAGAGTGGAGCACATGGTGTATTTTATACAGTCTGTGCATTGGCATGTAGAGATAACTGAGTTGTATACCTTACACTGTTTAGATCTGTATTTCCTTTACTGTTTTGAGATGTATATTTGACTTGAAAGCATGCCTACGTTTCTGCACATTTATTTCTGTTATACCTGTTGAGGTTGAGTTCGTCACTACCTTTCAGTCCAAAGTTTGGACTTGTTACTTACTGAGTTGGTATACTCACGCTACTCCCTGCACCTCGTGTGCAGATCCAGGCGATACCGGTCGTAGCGGCGGTTGCTGATTGAGGATCCTAGAGTTTTGGAGACTATCAAGATAGTTCCACTGCGTTTCCGGGCCTTGACTCTCCTTTATCTTTGTCGTACTTTCAGTTTATATCTCTAGACACTGTAGTAGACTGTATTTCTGATCTAGACACTCATGTACTCAGTGACACCCTGGTTTTGGGCTGGATTATATCACTTTGGGAGTTTCTTATATTTCAAACAGTTTTTCTTTAATGTTAAATGCTTCCGTTAACGTTTTCAAACTTATTGTTGTTATAGTGTTGGGTTGTTGAGTTGAGGCTGGCCTAGTTCCACGATAGGCGCCATCACGACGGTTGATTTTGGGTCGTGTCAATATATATATATATATCGCATATATTTTTATAAAGTATAGAGAGAGTGGAGGTTGGGATGTTTTGTTGTATAATAGGTGCTCCTTTGTGACTTAATAGTATCTTTTTGCTAGGACAATAAAACAGCCAGTTTCTAAATTTATTTCGTGAACTGATGATTATTGCTAACTAAACCATTTGTTTGGCTTAAAAGATAGGGAGAATGACACAGTTACCGACAAAAATAAAACTATTTATCCTTGTCTACCCATTTATTTTTATACCCATCAAACTAATTACATTTTCTACCCATAGTATTTTTGTGGGGAATTTTCTCTTTTTTCTCCAATACTTTTTTATTTCTATGCTTTTTTTCTTTTTTTCTTTTTTTTTCTTTTTTCTTTCTTTTCTCCTTTTCGTTTTTCTCGTTTTCTTCTTATTTTTTTCTTTTTCCTTTTCTAATTTCATTTAACTTATTTTTTTTATATTCTTTTTCTCTTCATAATCTAATTGCATTTACTGTTTTCACTATTTTTTATTATTCTTTATTTTATACAATAAGAAAAAATAACTGATGTAGTAAATCTTTGTTCACCTTTTTTTTTTAATATAACTAGTATAATATACCTTTTGTCTTTTTTTTCATTTTTTAAATTCAATTATTAAACTGAAATAATATCATTTGTCACTTGGTCTAATTCACTGAATATCACATTGACTGCTAATGAGCACCATAAATTACATAATAATATCATTTAATGAGCACCAAACCTTAATCTCCTTCCCTATAAATATCAGTACGCACTCTACCATTAGCAGTAACACAACCAATTATAGAGCAAGAAAACATAATCTACGACCACCAAATCTCCATATATACTAGTTAGAATAGAAATGATAATAAAATATTGGAAAATGCAATAAAAGTATAAGTAGCAAAAAAGACTTTTAGTACCATATGATACCAATATGGTATACATGTATACCAACAGAGTATATGATTGCTCTAGAATATTGCTACAACTATCTGCGACTATACTATTATAATAAAATATTTTTATGCAATAAAAGTATGAGAAAATTACATGCTCGCATTGCAAGCTAAATATTTGCAAAGCAACTTGCTCATTCTGTATACTAACAGGGTATATAGTTGTATGGGGTCGTTTCAACAATTGCCTATAACTATAGGGTATATAGTAATCACTTAAAAATACAGCTAAAACAATTAAAAAAATGTTCAAACTATCATATGATACCAATATAGCATATAACTATACCAACATGGT